GCACTTAAGACACGCATTTAGAATTAAATCTATGCCAAACAGCCATTTCGTCATCCTAAAGCTCGTTAGTGATTTAATTTGGTGTATTAGTAGTTCACCAATTGGTCTCCATGTCTTTTTGGGCTTTTTTTAGTTTTTTATTGAATGGGTCTACAGTGTGGCTTTAAAATTTAGAACGTTCTCATAGAAGAGTGTAAAATTCAGAAAGGTGTCAGCATACCGGTACTTATGAAGAGTATTTATTATTGCTGCTAGTTAATGGTTTTAAGCAGAGGATCACCTAATAAACAGTATTTTGCTTTCGACTACGCATGTTTTAATCAAACTTTATAGAATATGATGGAGGGAATTCGAAAATATAGTATAAAACAGACGAAAATACTGACATGTTCACAAAATATTAGATCAAACTTTAAATAGATGAAATGGAAGAAAATGTAAACGAATGGAGAACTTACAGGATACTTCTGGGAAAAGGCAAAAAGTGCCCGGAAGACCGACAGGGAAAGCGTCCTTTGAAATATCGACAACTCTGTTGAAGGAATGTCGACACCTTATAACACAAAAGTTTTTATTACAAGAGAAATTAAATAAGAGGAAGAGATAAAGGAAAGTAAAATAGCGGGGACGATTTTTTGATCGCTTAAGTTTTCCACCAATTAGTTTTAAACCTGTTTGATGCTTAAATCATAAATGACGATATGTATCATTTTGAAATTTGTTTAATATGAAGCCACCATTCTTCACTAGAGAAATGTTCTTTACAGTCCTTTAACAGTATCTATGTTCCACGACGTCCTTTATCAATATTTATGTTACACAACGTCCTTTAACATTATCTATGTTCCATAACGTCCTTTATCAATATTTATGTTACACAACGTCCTTTAACGTTATCTATGTTACACAACGTCCTTTATCAATATTTATGTTACACAACGTCCTTTAACGTTATCTATGTTACATAACGTCCTTTAACAGTATTTATGTTACATAACGTCCTTTAACGTTATCTATGTTCCATAACGTCCTTTATCAATATTTATGTTACACAACGTCCTTTAACGTTATCTATGTTACATAACGTCCTTTAACAGTATTTATGTTACATAACGTCCTTTAACGTTATCTATGTTACATAACGTCCTTTAACAGTATCTATGTTACATAACGTCCTTTGACGTTATCTATGTTACATAACGTCCTTTAACAATATTTATGTTACATAACGTCCTTTAACGTTACCTATGGTACATAACGTCCATTAACAGTATCTATGTTCCACGACGTCCTTTAACGTTATATATGTTACATAACGTCCTTTAACAGTATTTATGTTCAATAACGTCCTTTAACGTTATCTATGTTACATAACGTCCTTTAACAGTATTTATGTTACATAACGTCCTTTAACATTATCTATGTTCCATAACGTCCTTTATCAATATTTATGTTACACAACGTCCTTTAACGTTATCTATGTTACATAACGTCCTTTAACAGCATTTATGTTACATAACGTCCTTTACTACCGATGAAGGGAAGGTGTGAACGTTTCAAGTACTGTATTACTGAACAAAGTATTGATAGTATTGTACTGAAGTACTTCACCAATCGAATTCCTTAAATTTATGCAACAAGCTCTCTGATTGGCAGAGCCAAGTCTAGATCGATTGTGGGTGGAGCCAGGTGAAAAAATACTGTGCAGACATCGGCATTTTACAAACACTCGACTGTCGCGAGAGGTTAATTGGAAGAGTCCAAGTCACAGGTGGCTTCAGATCAGACCTAATTGGGTTGTCCCATTTGTTTCGTTCTACACCCAATGATACCTTGCTTTTCCATCGATGGTACAACGAGAAAACGAAAGTTACTCAGTACTAAACTAATTTACGTACAAAATATATATCAACAGGTTAGATCACTGGGACCGGAGAATTCATAACATCTTAACAGTGAATATAGTCATATAGTCATTCTGTACTAGTTTTATTTATTTATTTATTTATTTTGAAAGGGGGGGGGGGAGGGTTGGCTCAAAATATTTCGGTTTAAGCCCAAGCTCTATTAATGTAACAAAGAATTACGATTTACCTGGGACCTCCTGATATATGCCAATAATTCATACTGCATTAAAAAGTAAAGGAATTCTGTGGTCCCATATATTTTTTATTTTATTTTTTATCTTTCTATCGAAAATTATACATATCCGCAACATGTGAAAAAACTTTGAAGTTGGTTGGGCGGAATATCTAGAGCATTTACTAATGCAAGTTCCAGAAATTCTGACACAAGTCGGGTATTTGCCCGAAGCCTCTGTCTCATGACATTGAATACATATTCAGTTACGTTGTATCCCGGGGAATAAGGCGGCTGAAAAACCAGGGACACGCCATATTCTTTCAGCATATTTCTTAAAATGCGCTCTCCCTGTCTATGGTGATGGAATCCACAATTATCCATCACAACCACATCGCCTTGTACAAAAACATGATTCCCCATATCGTTCGTATCGGACATAATTTCGTCGAAGAAAATTTTGCGTACTGTTGCCGTCGTCGGACATTTTTCCAGCGATTACTTAGTAATTGTTATGTAACTGATAGTGTACATTAACTCCGCCTACCGGAACAAACTGGGTGTCAGATCAACTATTCAGGTTGTCTAAACTCCGCCCCCGACCAATCACAGAGGTCGTTGTATACTTGACTCGATTATTTGAATACTTCAATACAATAGTATCAATACTTTGTTCAATACTATAGTAAGTGTGTCGTTCACACCTTCCCTTCATCGGTAGTAACAGTATCTATGTTACATAACGTCCTTTAACAGTATTTATGTTACATAACGTCCTTTAACAGTATATATGTTACATAACCTCCTTTAACGTTATCTATGTTACATAACGTCCTTTAACAGTATCTATGTTACATAACGTCCTTTAACAATATATATGTCCCATAACGTCCTTTAACAGTATCTATGTTACATAACGTCCTTTAACAGTATCTATGTTATATAACGTCCTTTAACAATATATATGTCCCATAACGTCCTTTAACAGTATCTATGTTACGTAACGTCCTTTAACAATATATATGTCCCATAACGTCCTTAACAGTATCTATGTTACATAACGTCCTTTAACAGTATCTATGTTACATAACGTCCTTTAACAATATATATGTCCCATAACGTCCTTTAACAGTATCTATGTTACATAACGTCCTTTAACAATATATATGTCCCATAACGTCCTTAACAGTATCTATGTTACATAACGTCCTTTAACAGTATCTATGTTGCATAACGTCCTTTAACAATATATATTGTCCCATAACGTCCTTTAACAGTATCTATGTTACATAACGTCCTTTAACAATATATATGTCCCATAACGTCCTTAACAGTATCTATGTTACATAACGTCCTTTAACAGTATCTATGTTACATAACGTCCTTTAACAATATATATGTCCCATAACGTCCTTTAACAGTATCTATGTTACATAACGTCCTTTAACAATATATATGTTCCATAACGTCCTTAACAGTATCTATGTTACATACCGTCCTTTAACAGTATCTATGTTCCATAACGTCCTTTAACAGTATTTAGTAGATCCTCATTCATTGATTACTCTCTCTCGGCATATCAACCTGGCTATCATCACCACTTATCTTGTCTGGTTAAGCCTATCTACTAGATACCATGATGATGATGATGATGATGATGATAATGGTGATGACGATATCGATGATGATGATGATGATGATGATGATGGTGATGACGATGACGATGATGATGACGATTATGGTGATGGTGATGATGATGATGATGATGATCGATTAACAGTGTACAGGTTAATGATTTCTAACTGTTAACTCGTTGTTTATGATATTTTAAGTCGTGCCTACCTCTTTGCAAAATACCACGACAAGTTTATTTTTCTTCTGTGTATCGTGATGGCCCTAGCACACCCTGACAGACCGATCGGTCATCGATACCATCGATTTGATCGATTGGTGAAGTTGGTGATTCAATTGTTACCTGTGTTTGTTTTTCATCGCTAATCGTTTAAACGATTGTCTTTCAGCAGAATGTTTTTGTGAATGATCCATTTTAACAAAAATCTTGATTCTTAAAGCAAATAGGATACAACACTCCATTTCTTCTACACGTGTACCTTAGTAATGAACGGGGTGATATGTTACTACATTTACATTACTAAGTGTATACGTTGCTAGCACTTTTTACGGTGTCGTTATATTATCATTTGTACGTAAGGTTGCATATCATTAGCCCATATGGTATTTCGGAGTCAGGTTTAAGATTTATATGTAAACCTAACTGTATACGCTTGGATTGTGTTTAAATCAATGATAGTGATTGCAATAACAAAGTAAATGGTTGTCACCTTATTGTGAAATGTGTCATTTATTTGTTCGATATGGATTTGATGTTTAATGTTCTTTATCATCATGTCCATTGATTTTCTCGTCACTGCTCTGATTCCCATTTTGAGAAAGTGACATTATTTTCATTGACCAAGCCTTACATTACGGGTGTCGTCGATGAAGCAGAAACCAAAATCCGAATCACTTGATCTTCACTTCTTCAAATGAGTGCAATGTACCAAACACAAGGCTCTCAATTAGAGTTACTTCCCTTTGTCAAAATTTTGTGTCTCGGGCATAACTTCATATGCATTTAAACTAGGATCATGAAACTTAGTTAAGTCATACTAAGATCATGTATAGTACACAATAAGTGTAGCATGCTGATTTCATGTAAGATTTTGTTGATAATTAAGTCAAAAACATTTTTGCAGAGATGTATTCGAAAGGCTTACAAATATATCTGGTTAATTAATTTGCCGCCAACAGAAAACAGCAAAGATTTAATTGAAAACAAAAGCATTTATTTTCAAAAGTTAACAATGATGAAAACAATGATGAACACATTGATCCAACTGGAAGTTAACAATAAAGAACATATTTATACTATGATAATCCAAACTAAAACTCAACAACATGGGATCAATAGTTAGCTAGTACGATATCATCTCTTCTAAAAACACGTGTTTAGGTTGAATTCACTTCGAATTCATTGCACTTTTTTTTCTTTCTTTTTTGTCAATTGTAAGATGCATGTGTAATAATCATGTATTATCACTTTGATCCCATAAATGTTTTAACTATTATGTTTTCAGAATAGGTCTCATCAAACAATATGACAAAGAACTAATATTATATTTTCTATGGCAATAAATTTGTCATATCCAAAACAATATTAACGAATTATTATCGCCGTTTGTGAGTCAAAAAATTGGAACTGCAATGGCTTCCAATATGAAATTACATTTGGCTTCAGTTTTGTACATTTGTCAATCAGGTAAAAACTTTGAATGCTGTCGCCTTGGATACAGAGATGCTTATTTCGGTTGGCTTTAGAAAATTCTGGTCATCTCTAGTAACGTTTCAGAGATACAAGCAGATACAGCAATGTGCGCTCTTGGGGTAAAATTCAAGGCTCCATTGATCAAAATGAATGTTTTGCATGGGAAGACATAGGAGGATCAAAAACTTCGTATTCACCGTGCCTTCAAAACGAAAGATGCTCAAGAGCTCTGATAATAGCCACAGTATATAAATGGCTAGTGAAATGAGGTACTGATGATACGTATCTAGACATGGAAACATCTTAAATCCATCTTTTAGAAAAGATTTGGCAATTGTAATCTTGAGTCAACTTTAAAGTAATTTCATCATGAAAATAGACTTGATGTTTCAACATTTCAAGTAGATTTGACTTCTTAACAATGAACAGAAATTTTGATAATTTATTTGAACAAGAAGCCCAGGGGCCTTAGTAGTCACATGAGTTACGATAATTCTTGTAAGATGTCATAGTAATATATACAAAAATCTTGTTAAAAATGTAAGATAAAACTACATTGTACATGTAATGCTAATGTAAACTGTGCATAACATTAACTGCTGTCCCATACTAAGGCTTCTAAACATGTTTCGATTAAAAGAAATCACACTCAAAAATGTAAATTTCCTATATAATTCTTCCATCCATTGGACAGCATTTGATACATTCTATCATATTGGGATACTGAGATCTTTCAAATTTGAGTCAATTTGACCTTTTTTGCCAGTGTAAATGTGTACATATTGCCAAACTCATCTTATACTAATAATTCTTACCAAGTTTGAACTATTTCAAATAAGCAAATTATGCTTAAAAATGTAATTTTCCTAAATAAACTATAGTAAATTTTACCCCTTTCCCAGGTGGAAATGTGAGACCCTGGGGGTTAAGAAATTCACAATTTTGGTAAAGCATCTAAAGAGTTTTTCCATCCACAAGGAGCATATATAGGTATTGAGAAGATTTTTGCAGTTTCTATCAATTTGACCTTGGGGGTTGGGACCGTTTAATTTACAATTTTGGTACTTCTTTCGCCATCAGCGGCTTCTTCAAAATTTCATTGAATCTGTTGTGGAGATTTACAGAGAAAATGTGGAAAGTCAATGATGTACAACACCAGGCAAAAGGTCATTGCAATAGTTCACCATGAGACTTTGTCTCAGATGATCTAAGAAGTTTGAAAAGCCTTTCATCACAGTCACTCAATGTATCAATATTGAAGATGGTCATCTGAAACTTTCATAACTTCAATAACTCTGTGACCTTGAATTACTTTCAAAGAATATAAATTTTTATCATTCAAGCACATTCTAATTGTAATCATCACATACATTACCATTACTTTAAGAGAAGTAGACAATGGTGCTGTACAAATTGGGATTTCCCTACACATACATTACCATTACTTTAAGAGAAGTAGACAATGGTGCTGTACAAATTGGGATTTCCCTACACATACATTACCATTACTTTAAGAGAAGTAGACAATGGTGCTGTACAAATTGGGATTTCCCTACACATACATTACCATTACTTTAAGAGAAGTAGACAATGGTGCTGTACAAATTGGGATTTCCCTACACATACATTACCATTACTTTAAGAGAAGTAGACAATGGTGCTGTACAAATTGGGATTTCCCTACACATACATTACCATTACTTTAAGAGAAGTAGACAATGGTGCTGTACAAATTGGGATTTCCCTAATTAACATATATAAAGAGTTTCAGCATTATCTAATTTCCTTCTTTTAGCAGTCGGTTTGTTGGCAGTTGTTTTTCTTTTCTTCCGTTTCCTTCTTTTTTTACCTTTTTGATGAACTTTTGTTTTTGTCTGTACCCTGTTCTCAAAACGCCTCTTGGCATTGTCAAACTGATTTATAAAACCTTCTGGATTCTCCTGTACATTTATAGGAACAAATGTTTTTAGAGGGGAACTTGTAAGTTCTTCTATAGTCCAGTCTCCAGGTAGGTTGTTGGTTCCATAGGTGGACTGTTTCGAATGGCTCGTTTTATGTCCAGATTTCTGTGATTGACTGGTTCTAGATATTGGTTGGGATGGTTGGTCCCAATCTGATGAGGAAGAATCAGTGTAGCTGCTCTCAGTTTCCAAACCATACTCTCTAGTAATGACGTGTGTCTTGTTTTCTTTTCCAGGTTTCTTCCTGTAATGACAAATACTTCAAATAAACCAACGTCTTTTAAAACATCTCTTACACCTTATCTACTTGACAGCATCAGAAAAGAAACTACAATATTAAAAAAAAAAAAAAAAGTTGTGAGTGGGATAACTAATTCCTCTTAATCCACTGATGCTCCACACCAAGTTGGGACATAATTCAGGCATTCCTACAGAAGAAGAATAACTCTATTTCCCCTATTGGGTCTCAACCCTTCTAGCCTTGTGGACCCTGAGACCAAACATTTATACAAAGTTGTATTCCTTTCACCCAAGAATGCTTCGGACCAAATTTGGACATAACACAATCACTCCTACAGAAGAAGGATTTTAAATAACTTCTAGGCCCCACCTTTATACTCAGAGACCTACCACTTACACAGAATTAATCCCTTCACAAGATGCTTCTGACAAAATATGGTCAAAATTGAAAGTCTTTTATGATTACTCTGGCAAATTTTAGGAAAGAATTTACTGAACAAAGGATGGGTGCTCAATGGTCCTTCAGACCTGGTTTGTTAAAAATAAGAATTATTTTGTGTATTCAACTAAAATGTTTGAAGTAACAGCAATATCCATTGGAAAATAAGCTCAACAACAGATCTCATAAGGATCTTGGCGCAAACCATTGTTGGGTCTTTATCGGTACATTAAAAACTAAGATCTTTCCCCTTCTTTTCTATTCTTTCCTCAGTGCTTGCTGCTAACTTTATACATCAAAACTTCCTTTACAAAGTTCCATCTATGACTTCTCCAGAACAACAATAACAAATTATGACTATCAAAAGTCAAGATGGTCAGATGTCTGCCATCTTGTTTTCTGACAGATCTCAAAATGGAGTCTGCACAACTAGGTACTAACTTTTTCCTTTTCCATTTTCTTTTCATATCAGGCCAAAAATGGGACAATGCAAAAGATGGGACAAAGTGGAACATACATGCAAAATTTGAGAATTGTCCATCAAGTTCTTCTCAAGAAATAAAGTAAAATCTTTTTAAAGACGGTCCGCACCAGATCACAGACAAATGTGGATCTTCAGATGGTGAGTGGAAAAGAAAAAATAGCCTTCTGTATAGTACCTTACTGTCTAAACATGAACAAAGGCATGTTTAAAACAACACAAAGGAATTCAGAGTCCACTCATGTTACCAAATAAAATGTCAAGATGACAGCTAGAATGTTAGAGAATATACTTTTTGCTAATAAAACATTCTTGTCAAAATCAAGATATAAATGATTCAAGGATAGAAACTAATATTTTTATGTCATTTAAAAGTTAGTATAAGCATCATTTGATCAATTGCAGTGCAAATAATGAAGTGATGCCACTTAATTAACCAGCTATTTCTTCAGAGATCTATTTCTTTCAGATCTTGATGGAAACATTACCTGATTAAACTACCCAGTGTGCACAACTCTTCTTCAGTCTCTGTAATAAAATTAAACATAAAAAACATTTAAATTTCAAACAAACCACATCAATATTGCACGTTCAGCATATAAGTAATCTTCAGTCATTTGAAACTTTCCAGTAATGTTTTTCATATCAAGAATACCTGCATACTTTTGTTGAAGTTTTTAGCATAATCTTAAATGTGCATATAGCAGAGGAAATCAAAACAAGCTGTTTTTTGTGACCTGGACTAGAAAATACACTAAATGTTCCGGCTTCTGTTCATACATTGTGTCCTCACATCAACTATGAAAGATCCAAGATTGTCTTGGCACCTACCAAATGAGGTTAAATAACTACATTCATTGCTATTTTTCTAACACACAGTCCACTGTCCTAGTTTTATACTTCCTGTTAAAAACCATCATGGATGGAACAAACTTAGTTTCTTGCTCTCAATTACATCCACTAACAGGTTGAAATTGTGTAATACAACAACAACCAAATACAGTGGTAACTTCACATGCTTTAAACAGTAACACTGCCAGATCAATACAACTTCAAGCAAGCATCAAGTCAAATGAATATCTAACAAATCTCATCTAACATTTATGTAGGTTTTGGCATCAAACTTTTTATCTTGTGTGACAGAGAGATTCAGTCTACACTAGACCTGATGTGTACCCTTCAGTCTGGTGCTGCACTTGGTCCAGTCGTCCCAGTAATTTGCTTCCTTGTTCCTCTTTCATTCTTGACCTTGTTGACCTTTTCTCTGGAGTAACAGCAGAATTACTTGTTCCCAAGTATCCTCGGGCATCAGCCTCAGCCTGTCTTTGTTGTGCTTCCATTAAACAAATTTCGATGTGGTTGTCATATTCTTGTCCTGCTGGTAACTTTTCATCACACAGGTAACACGTCATCATCTTCCTGTTGGATAGTTAAGTTATCAATTTTGTAATGAACACACCCATGTTTGTTTTCAATCATTGCGTGATATTAACACAATCACTGATAGAATGAAGTGCAACTATCACTTACATATGACTTATACCCTTATATTTAAGGGTGAAGAAAAAAGACTTTTTCAAATGTTTAGAATAAAAAGGAATGACAACTTATTTTAGGCGACTGAGCACATTTTATTCTATAGGTTTTTGTGACTGAAAAATTTGCAATACAAACCTTATAACCTGCTCGGTTATCTCCCCTGTCAATTCTGCAACAAGTAAATCAGTATTCATAAAAATGAAAATGCACTAATGTTCTCTTTTTAAACAAGGTAATTTTAACCAATCATATGTAAACACTTAAGATACATTGTCAAGGTTAAATTTTGATGCATTTTTGAATATGAAATGATAATTTTGTAATTTTTCAATTTTTAGCCCCCTTCTCTATATCATTTCAAGTCTTCCTCTGTCTGAAGAAGGAGAGGAAAATTTGAAGCTCATCTGATGTTTCAATATGACTATAATATAAATCTAAAGAGTGAATTGAATAAGGCATAAAGACTTTAAAGTCGTTTCTCAAAATATGAATTTTTTAATTAAGTTTCTATTTGCAGGATGCAGATATCCATACTACTAATGTGCCTTTATTCCAAGTTTGATTGGATTAGCATTTGTATCTTATGAAAAACGGAGCATGAGAAAGTCATATAAATGCAAAACTTCAAAGTTCAGCTTCTCAATATCCTTAAATTTCAAGGTTGCTGGACTGTAAAATCTGGAAGATATGACTCACTATTGGCAACTGTCCGACGTTTCTGGGGTGAAGGGGAGTTTGCCTGCTGTGGACTCTGGCTGTTCTTGAAAAAATCCATCATTCCCCCTGCTAGCATTCCTGAAGGACTTGCATCAAAATCAGCGTCATCATACTCTGCACTATTGTGCTGAATAGCAGCACTATCAGCTGAAAAGTATAAGAATTGTGGAAATATAAATAACAATTACAAACTTATGCTGTCTTAGTTAACAATGTTTATATCTGGCTATAAAATTGTTCAAACTTACAATTGGTCACTTCGTTTCCTTCACATTCAGCTGCGTGAGCCTCTATTTGGTCCTGTGGGAAAGGCACATTACACAGCGGACATGGCACAAGGGATATCTGTATAACAATGACACTTATTAAGTTCCAACATTGCAAACAAAATATAACAATGAAGATAGAAATTATCATTTGTTTGTTCAAGTGAAGTCCTGACTGTTGACTTCACATCTAAGACATAGTTTTCACTATGGAGGCGACGTAATCAGTGATAACCTACATATCAATCAGGCAACCATACATTTCATTTGTTCAGTTTGACTTCGGGCTATTTTGACATACAGCCTTTTTGAATTATTGACAGGTAACTCTGTGAATGCCTGTAACATGCAATCTTGTTAAATTGTGTTGCCCAATGCAAAGACATAATGAAAATATCACAGTCAATGATATCAGTCTCCTGAGAAACACAAACAGTCCTCAGTAGTAATCAAACCACACACCCCAGATCTTCACCTGAGAAATATAAACCTGCCTCAGGTAGGTATCAAACCACACACCTCAGATCTTAACCTGAGAAATATAAATCTGCCTCAGGTAGGTATCAAACCACACACCTCAGATCTTCTCCTGAGAAATATAAATCTGCCTCAGGTAGGAATCAAACCACACACCTCAGATCTTCTCCTGAGAAATATAAACCTGCCTCAGGTAGGAATCAAACCACACACCTCAGATCTTAACCTGAGAAATATAAACCTGCCTCAGGTAGGAATCAAACCACACACCTAAGATCTTAACCTGAGAAATATAAACCTGTCCCAGGTAAGAATCAAACCACACACCTCAGATCTTAACCTGAGAAATATAAATCTGCCTCAGGTAGGAATCAAACCACACACCTCAGATCTTCACCAGAGAATCATAAACCTGTCCCAGGTAAGAATCAAACCACACACCTCAGATCTTAACCTGAGAAATATAAATCTGCCTCAGGTAGGAATCAAACCACACACCTCAGATCTTCACCAGAGAATCATAAACCTGTCCCAGGTAAGAATCAAACCACACACCTCAGATCTTAACCTGAGAAATATAAACCTGTCCCATGTAGGTATCAAACATCACACCTCAGATCTTAACCTGAGAAATATAAACCTGTCCCATGTAGGAATCAAACCACACACCTCAGATCTTAACCTGAGAAATATAAACCTGTCCCATGTAGGTATCAAACATCACACCTCAGATCTTAACCTGAGAAATATAAACCTGTCCCATGTAGATATCAAACATCACACCTCAGATCTTCACCTATGAAATATAAATCTGCCTCAGGTAGGAATCAAACCACACACCAAAGACTTTCACCTGGTATTACATCTTCTGATTGAACTATCATGTAACTGTCATTGTTTTGATTAAGTTGTGTATTTTATAAAAGTAAAAAGCATGTCATCTAAACATCAAGTGAAAACTGACTTTTTTAAAAGATTATTCTAATTTCTTGTAACACAATCTGTAAAATATTTAAGTGTTACAAAAATGTTACCCTTCACCCTGGTCATTTGTTTGATGAAGGTGAACGTGTAGTCATTGAAACATCACACTTACATCTTTTACTGGTTGTGTTATAAGATAAAGTGATCGTGTAGTCATTAAAACATCACATTTAAATCTTTTACTGGTTTTGATAAAAGAACTTCTGTTTTATTGACGTTGCTCTCCTGATGAAAAAATTCTGTTCATCACACATGTCAACTGCATTCATTAACAATATATACATATTTTGTGACATCACATGCAAGTTTCATAAAGCAATAAATGAGAATTGAGTTTTGTAAACATGAAACCTTACATAGCTCAGTCTATTTAACATCATTTAATCTTACCAGTTCTTCTTTCCTTTTTTTCTGTACATTCTTCTCCTCTTTCTGAGTCCTTTTCCTCCTCCTAATAGCTTCTATATTAATCGATGTTTGTTGTGGAGGCTCCCACATGGAGAATGCAGGAGCAATGTTCTCTAAATCTGTAACCTCAGATAAATCTTTGAAGGAAACTTCTTTATCACATTCATCAGAAAGAAATCTCCCTATTTTCAAGTTCTTTGAGCCTCGTCCCTTTTTGAAGTTTGGTGACTGACTTTCCATTTTTTCTGTTTGGTCTCCACCTTCAGGAGAGTCTGTTGGAGTTACCATATCATCAACAAGGGTTGGCTCCTCCCGTAAAATTGGTAGTTCCTCCTTGGATTTTTCACTGACAGAAGGAGAGCTTTGCCCAGTATATTCCTGCGTCTCCGCAGAATCATTAGATTTATCAGAATGACTGTCAATACTACTTCCTTTTGTAAGCTTGCTGAACTCCTTTTGACTCTGGCCAGATGGCATTTGCTTCCTTTTCTTTGGCTTCACCACACTTTCTGCCTCCTCTTCAATACTGTATATGTTATCCTTTTGGGTTGTTTTTGAAACTGGCTTTCTTGTTTTTGCTCTCTCCCGCTGTAGACAGACCTGAGTAGAATAGAGTTCTCCCTGGGCATTGATCATGGCTGCAGACTGCTGACTGAGACTGTCCATGGATGATTCAGACTGAAAGTCAGGAGGACTGGGTAACCTTATCCTTCTCAATGGTGAAGGAACTCTTTGTTGTACAGTCTTTCCTGAATGTTTTGCATCATCATTTTCATCATCTGATCGGGCACTTTCTACAGAGAACCCACTATCAGATCTCTCTAACAATTTCCTTTGAAGCTTTGCATGTCTATTTCTTGTCTTTCGGTAGTTCCCGCCACTTCTTTTCAGAGAAAGAAATTCTTCGCCACTATTGTCATCCGATAAGCTGTATATATCTGAAAGCTCTTTGTTTTTCACAGCCTTAGGATTTGTGGGGATGTCTGTGTATATTGTCCTGCGCACAGGCCTGACTTGACCGGTAACAGGTAAAGTTGCTTTTCTACCACTAAAACCAGTGTCTGGTTTATCAGTCATTTGCTCGCCATCAGATTTATCTCCTCTTTTTATGCGTGGCTGATTTTTTCGTTTCTCAACAGACAGACAGACATCCACATCAGACCTAACCATACTGTCTGGATCCTCTATTTTTGGTTCATGTCTTTGATGATTCGGAGCAACTGGGTATGTGTTATCTAATACATCAGCCTCATCTACAATCTTTTCCACATGGTCACCAAAAGGTTGCGTTTCTGTGTCATGCAAAGACTTTTCTTTGTCCTCACTGTGCTTTGGAACATAGTTTGGGTCCTCCTTTATTTTGGAATGACTGCCTTTAAGCTTCACAAGTTTCTTTGGCATGGTTATTTTTGGCTTGTACGGTACAAACTCATCTTCCTCTGAACTCTCCTCCTTATACAGATTTCTGAAAATTAATAGAAAAGGTATTTTTGTCTTAATTACTACTAGAAACAGAACCTAAATCAGTTTAGATTCCAACATTTTAGATGCTTAGAAATATTTCCATATTGATATATATAGAATAATTATCACAAGAATTGTTTACATTAATATGTTAATATTCTGGTGATATCACCACCTCATCATATTGGGCTAAATCCCCTACCACTTCTATAAATCTTCTCATTTTCATTTATTTTTCAAAAGATCTAAAATTAATCTAGATCCTTTTCCTGGTGGTTAAATGCTAACTTCCACCACCTAATTGTCTTGTTATCGGTGAAACAATACCTATAAATTAATATGTATCAATCTTTAGCAGAGGTGTAATTGAGTAAAGGTTCTTAAATGTTTAAATCATAATGTCATAATCTTCATTCTATCATATGTGACGTCACCAAGGGAAGTGATAATGAATTACTAATTTAGAATTTATTTTCATTTAAATATATGTTGTTTTCACAAATATCTTCAAAATTTTTTAATGTCATTAGATAAACAGAACGTAAAATTATATTTCTAACATCTGTAGGTCATGAAACTTGACAGAGGCTTGGTTAAATGAAAAATTTGGAAGACTTGTCATAAACCTTATATGAAATGGATAATTGTGCAACAATCACTGAATATTAGGTATGCCTATGAACATGTATTTCATGACAATGGGCAGAATTTGTAATGAATTGATACACACTGTCTTGTTCGGCTGACTGGAGCAAAGTCTAGTGTCTTTTCCATATGGCGGCCACACTTCACTGGATCACCCCAGGCTATCATTTCAGCGGCCATGGTCTGAACCTCCGTCAGTTTACGGCTGTAGATTTCCATCAACTGGAGGATAACCTTGGTGTAGGACTGTACACTCCCAGCATCAGGAGCATAAAATGGATATCTAGGTGTCACCTGTCATGTAGTCATTTCATTCCAATGAGCACAATTTTCCAACAAAGGCTTATCTAATATCCAAAAGGATGGTTTGTTTTACTTTTCTTTTTTTCTTAAACATAATGCGTGTATCAGCCATATTTTATTGGGTTTTTTAAGCATTGGGATCTTCAGATTAAACTTAGTTTTGTTATCTCTGTGAGGAAAAAATTCAGTTTGTGATCTTTTACAGTCAATTGTATACTTCCTCAAATTGAAGAAAAGCTATACATACCTTCCTTGCTTTTCTACAAGAGATAAGAATGACTAAACAATGAAAACTTTGCTTGAAGTCAAATAGGATTAAAAGTTTTATAAATGGAATTGAAGCCCATATTTCTCATCTGATAAAAATCTATTGATGAAAGGATTCCCTAAAACATTACTGGTATACAGAATATTTTTTGTTCTACAACAACTATTTTTCCCTTCAAATATAATTGATTCCATTTTTCCTTCTTAAGTTATATTCCAGTAAAACATCTACTTAACCCTGTGGCTACACAAATTACTTTTTTTTTTCAGGACTCTTTCACGCATATTACTTGTAATGATCAAATGAATTCAATGGTGAACTCCTTATCAAAACCTTGAGTTCTGAGGTGGGATAAATGTTCTACAGCCAATATGGTAATTACATTGTTTTTCTTCACAGGACATCGTATCTATACCTTACCTGTAATGTCTTCTAAGGGTCGGCACATCATAAAAGTTGGTTTCTCGTGAAGGTGACGAATCCTATTGAAAACAAACATAATGTTAATTGGGTGTACAACAAGACTGACCACTATTATCAATTTCCAGTTCTCTGTCATGGTCTGATATTCAATGCTTTCTGTAAATTTAGCCAAGTTCTTTCGCTAAAAGCCATACCAGGATAAATTAAAGCCGTAAACTTGAATGTTTAGAATATATTTAACAGACATGAATATACTGCCCCCCCCACCCTCCCCCCAACCATATGAAAACCAGAATCTGATCAGGTATCAAAGGTGATATTGTAATACTATGGGGTAAATACAAACCAAATCCGTTAAGTTTTCAAGACATCTACATCCCATAAAATGGCAGGGTATAAACAAAATATCAATACCTCTCTGGTAACGTCTGGTTCACCAGTAGAATCACCTTTTCCATCCTTGTCAGACTTGTGTGAAAACTTGTTTTGTACGATATGAGCCATCTCTACCATCTTGTTCTTCAATGTTTTAAAGATTTTTTTTTCAGATGGAGCGGTAGCCTCAGAGCTTCTGTCATTGTGCGACACATTTGAATTTTTACTTTTGGTAGAACTATTTTTCCTTCTGTAAGGTGCTGCATCACCTGCACCGTGAATTTGCTGAAATATTCTTGGAGGTGGAGTATGTCCTGCTAATCGATGCTGAACATTGTCATCTTCATGAGGTGGTGTTGTTTGACTGTCCGGAACTGATGCTGCCTAAACAACAACCAAAATATATCAATCTTTTCATGTGTCAACACATAATACAATATTTAACTAAGACTTATCCAACATAAAGCTATCTACTTACTTTATTTTCTTTCTTTTTTTTTTTTTTTTTTTTACATTTTTGTAGTATGAACAACAAGGTATTGTCTTTGTCTATGACAACTCCCAATCCTCTCCACTCTCTATTTCTTCAAGAAAATGAATAATAAAAGTATTAGTTTAAAACTTATTTTCTATTAAGTTTGTGCATTGTCTACAAATAAAGTGTGATATAGTAGATATGTTAGAGGTTATCAAACATGTTTCCAGATTCAACAAGCTTAGCACTATTGTATGTTAAAGGTATACTATGAAATGAAAGCTTGTATTAAAGTCAGTCTATACATTTTTTTTATTAAATGCTAAACATATTCTTCATTAAAGTCATATATAAAAGGCAGAGAGAAAAAAAAAGAAGTGCAATATAATTCTGAACTTTTGATATTGATATGAACAAAATCAACACTTTCATTTTCTCCTAAAATTTGTAAACCAAGTGAAATATTTGAAGACGGTGAAACTTCCCTGAACCGACCCTTCTCAAAACCTATCACCTCTAGAAACTAAATAAAATGGCCTTGTACAGAATGATGTCCTCTTAACTCCAAATACTGAAGTTATTTTGTGTCAATTATGATTGAAATATACCGAAAATCACAGCATTACCTAAACAATCAAGACCCAAGTTCTGACCAGCGACCATGAAATCAACACCTGAAGTGACAGTTTTAAGCTTTGCCCCCGAAGTGTATACCTGTCATGAGCAGGCTTTGTACACAGAATTCTGTAGAACAATCCTACTTCCATCAATCATACATGAATGAATAAGTCATGCAGCACTCGTTGCTTCCCACACATGGATTGTACAAATCAAGTCACTGAAGCATGAAATGTAGGTTAAATTAAGAATATGCTGCTTGCATTCTGTAGTACCCCAAATATGCATCACTTATCCAAATAAAAGCCCTCCAGCACCTTATGTTTCCCCGATAGAGACTGCCAAATTCCTCTTACCCTGACACACTGTGTCAATCTAAATATCCCCATCGAATAGTGGATAATGAAGCAACAAATCTGATTAAAAATCTGATTACTTGGACATTAGATTGTTGATAATTAAAGTAGTCCATTTCCTGTGTTGTTTCATCTTTCTCCTCTGGTGTACTGACCACTCGGACAGCCTTCAATTCTTCTGAAGACTGCAAAACAAGTATCAATACAAACATAAGGACTAACAAAGCAATTATCATTTTCTTATTGTAAAGCAAATAAATCAGTCAAAATTTTCCAAACTTTGTGTTCTATACTGATGAAACAATCTTTTTTCTTCTTCTTTATGGCTTTGTTTTTTCAATCTGTCAAGAACAGGCCTTTGAATGGACTGTGATATGTAAATACCAATCCAATATCACTCCAAAAGTCAAATGAGCACAACTAGGGACCAACCAGAACCCACATATGAAATTTGAGAAAGATTGACCCAATTACCTCCATCCCCAAAACATCAGAAGAATCTGGAGGCTGTGTGTCATCATCCTCCGTGGTGAGGGATGATACCATCTTCGGAGAAAATTTTCTTTTCTCCATCATTTCTTCTTCATCTGGTGATATATTCTACAATATATTTTATTATTTATGAGTCTTCCTTCAGTTTCCATCAAACATACATTTAACACTTTTTTTTTTATTTCTTAGAACATTTATTTTTATAAGAAACACTTCTAGATCTGCCAGAATATAGCATTCAAAACATAACTGGGCAATCATCTTTCACTCTACCATTATATACACACTTTCTTTACATTTTCGTATGGTTTGTTTTTTGTTTGATTTCCAACTGTTAAATAATCCTTTCTGTTATAAACCCCACTCAACAGCGACGCATTTTGCATTTTGCTACAGTAAAATATTTGTAGGATCCAGCTATAGGTTAGGTTCTGAAATTCTGGGCCTACACTCTTTACCAATGACAGCCATAGTATAAACACTAACCGGTACATCTTCATTGATGACTATGTGTGAATACTGCTCCATCTTTCTCTGCTTCTTGGGTCTTTCATCAGCAACACTTTTTGCCTGAAATAAAGACTGAATAATTATCTTGTGGAATTAGTATTTCATGCAAGTATAAAAACCTATTTATCATGTAAATCTTTTGGTTATAATCACCAAGAGTTCAAAGGCCTCCTATGCCTTCATGATGTAACAAGCTTTATTTTAATTTGCTCTACTAGGAGAAATAGAATTTACCCTGCATTGCTTTTCATCTGCAACCAAGATCAAGGGGAACTTGACCTCTAAAAAAGCATCTGTTAAGATCAAATTAAAAAAAAGCAGTTAACAAAGTGTTGTAATTTCAATATGTGACAGATGCCAATAACAGTGAAGACTGCCAGCAAAATGAACAATTATCAACACTTCTACTATGGGGAAACTAGTCAATAGAAAACTTCCAATTATAAAACACCATACACTTTTACTTACAAAGCTGAGATAACATCCTATTGGCTACTTTCTAGTAACCATGGTTACATGTTTATGTGAATCATTAGTAACAATAACTGACATTTTGTCAGAATAGGCAATAAATGAAACTAGAAAATGTCTGTAAGACATGAATGCCCCCGCCCCCCCCATGTGAAATAATAGAAATAATAGTTGTTAGGTGGTATATACTGATTTGGCAGGGGCATAAAAACCACTGCAATCTTAAAATGTTATCAATTTATAGCTTGAAAAAATTACAAAACTAGAAAATGTCTGTAAGACATGAATGCCCCCGCCCCCCCATGTGAAATAATAGTGAAAGGTCCGAAAGAGATGATTTTGTTAATTTGTATGCAACTATGTACAACTTAAGTTTCATACTTAAATTGACAAGTTGATTTAACGTACATGAATTTGGAATTTTGTTCTCTGGAAAAAATGAGAGAGTATATTAGTTCCTTAAGCCTTAAAACCAAATTATGTAGAAATAAGATGATGTTCCTCTTTTTGAGTTATCTCCCCCTGGTGGCCATCTTTTTTTAGAATGCCGAGAAATTCAACACTGCATGAGGTCTTTCCATACTTGATATTTGTATGAAGTTTCATGAAAATTGCCTTCCGAATGAAGTTGTTAGGTGGTATATACTGATTTGGGACGCGACGGGACAGGATGCGACGGACATGGGCAACGCTATATGCCCCCGGCCATAAATGGCGGGGGCATAAAAAGTGATCAGGGGTTCACATAGAGCTATAACCCATCCCCTTCTTTTTCCTTTTGATACAAATATTTTGAAGGGTATGTAGACAATAAGGCATTTAACAAGCCCACCAACGCATAGTTGTATCTACAATATCACAGTTGTCATCAAAATGACAATATCCGGTATGCAAAAGAGTTAAGAGTCAGGAAGTTATGCAGCAACATTTGAGATTTTGAAAGAGAATGTCAGGATTTACTCTAAAGATTTAAAAACAAATCATATCTATGGCAATTAGAATAGTAGAGATGCAACATATCGGAGAGTTAAGTCTCGTCATATTTTGAACCACATATTATGTACTTTAGGGTCTGAAATTACATGTTATTCTGCCCGATGAGCCTGATATGGGTGGAACTGGTCAGTAGTAATACTGTTTATTGACCAACCAATGTTGAAGCTGGTATATGCTGTGTTAACTAATGTTGAAGCTGGTATATGCAGTGTTAACTCCCTACTTCTCATTTATAATTATCACTCAAATTTATATTCTTTTTATCAGCATCAACGTTGCTCAACTTTTGATACAATATAATTACTATATATACTTACTCTCATTTAAGTAGGAGGTAAGTTATCTCATTAATTATATGATAGAACTGTCTACTGTCGATGCCATTAAAAAATATGAAAACAACTACCACACTAACAAAATATTGGCCATGTTTTGAGAGATCTCAAAATGTAGTTTGTTCTTACCTGTGTATTTGACCGTTTACAACTTCCTTTCTTGACTTGATGTTTCTCCACCACTACATTTTTTATGGGTAAAGCCTGCTTCATGTCCTTTGGGAACATCAATTCCTTGTCAGCATCTTCATCATTGCTGTCTTTTGTATAACCTTGATTGTTTCGACTGTTCTTGACTTTATTCTGGGAAAATACTGTCACAATCTTGGTCCTTTGCGCTTTGTTCTTTGATTTACCATCGTTACCCTCATCATTAAGGGGCGATTGATGTACTGTTGACTGCTCAACTTTGATCAATGGCTGTGGAGTCTCATTGATGGAATCAACATCAGATACAGCAGTAGGATGGTCTCTTCTGTAAATGTAAGTTTATTCTTTCAACAGGTACACATTTTCTATCAATATTACTTGATAGAATAATATCAAAACACCCTTTGGGTATGTATTTGCACGCCTGGCAAAATTGATGCTTCTTAAACAGGGAATGTTACAGACTACATTTGGGCAAAATTCAATCATTTCTACAGGAGGAATCAGATTATAAACTTTCCCCTTTAGCACCACGCCCCTCAAGCCCCTAGGTGCTGAGACCCACCATATATACAAAATTGTTCCCCCTTCCACCAAAGATGCTTCTGACCAAATTTGGTCAAAATCCAGTAGTCAGGCCAGGTGACCTAAAAATTAGCATTTTCTATTGATCGCCAAAACTAATGTGTTTAACACTTGTTCAACTTTACTACCATTTGGAATTTGCCTTTAACTCTTAACCCTGTATACAAAATACTGTTTACCTATACTTTTTGGTTACCTAATGTTCGAAATCCCAGTGAAACATTGTTTGCTTTCATTTATCAAAAGGTTTAGTCAATTTTTTTCATTCTATACCACAGGTATTTTTAAATGCCTTTTTTAAAATACCCAAGCTTTTCATTTTTAGACAATACTGTACAAAGGCCCATAGGACCTGTATTGTTCACCTGGCTTTGTTTGGCTGGAATTACTACATAGGGCCCCTCCCATCAGTCCTATGGAGATCAGCCAAGCAATTCATGCTTCATACCAAATTTAGAAAGAATCCTGAAAAATTCCAACAAGAGTTTTTTTCAATGAATTTGCCCTATTTCCCCCTTGAACAGGCCCTGCCCATCCCAATTTAGTACAGGAAGTATTATGACCAAATTTAGGCAAACTTCAATCATTCCTACAGGGACCCATAATTTACACAAAAACTAACTTTCCTTCACCCAATAATGCTTCAGATCAAATCTGGGCAAAATCCAATGAATCCTTCAGGAGGCTATGGGCTTTTTAAAGAATTTGCTCTATCTTCCCTATTGGAGCCTGCCCTACAACCCCAGTGGGGCAAAGAACAGTCATTAATACAAAATTTACTCTTCTTCCAAATTTGGTCAAAATCTGCCCAGTTGTTCATGACTAGTAGAGATATGTATAAAAAGGTGACAGACAGACAGATGGATGATGTATGCCGCAGTAAGACATAAGCTCACTGGTCCTTTGGACTGGGTGAGGTAAAAAGTATCAAAAGTTACTTGATATTTATTGGTTTTTCAAAACAAACAAGAGGCCCATAAGGCCTGTATCACTTACTTGATTTAGTTTGCTAAATTGATGAATCTAAAGTGAAGGAAAAGTGATTTAAAACACTTGTATCCATTTCCCTGAAATAGCTTACTCCTCCTCCAAAAGGGGGTTAGATGCATAGTTTGTACAAAACTACATTGCATCCTAACCAATAAAAGAGAAGACAGTTTTGGTTTCGATGATGGAGAAAATACAGCTGTTTATGTAGAGTTCTTGGGTGTAACAGGACATCAAAGCTTTTCATTTGGGAATATATTTCTTCAAGTGATAACTACTGTGACCGTGCAGATTAATAAAAATACTAGATTGCCATTGCAGACTTAGAAACCATAATTTTAAATACATTTATTGGATGTATGTGTACATAATCAAACTGCAAGTTTTATTCATTTCATGGTGTATATATACGCTCTATATATGGCGCTGTACATGTAAAGTTATGCTTCAGTGACTTTGCTATGGCCTTCACCTTTTCATAACCCAGCTCAGTGCTATCGATGTTATATCAATGTACAATGTTCATGAGTATGTATTTATTCAGTATTATTTTAAAATATTACTTTAGGTATCAATTTCACTAAATTTCACTAAGTTATGTGTTTCATACTTATAACTGTTTATTTGAATAAAAGATATTGTTAGTGTATAAAAATATAAACTGTGTTTATCTATTTATGACTGATGTATAACTGTCACATCATGCTATAAGGCATGTATCCGGTAAACTGTCGATGAAAATAGGGTCAATCTTCATTGCAGAATGTCCCTGCTCATAGAAACACTGCTCAGTTGAACAATCAGAAAAGTTGAATGTTTCATATGGTTTTGACTTGGACTTATTTGTGTTTTACTGAGTTGAGGGAAATCCTTTTTAATACTACACAGCAAGAGTTATGTCCCTTGAACCACCCACCATTTGTAATTTGTGTAAGCACCTACTTACTACCATGACACCAAAATATTTTTTCTATCAAAATCACCATTCCCACCCCCCAATCATCTATAGAACCAATTTTAATTTCTTACATGTAATCAACAGATTAATATCAAGGCAACTGTCCCCCTCCCCCAGCCTTTTTTTTTTTTTTTTAAACTTTTTACCCTTTTTATAAACAAATTCAGATGTGAAACACAATGTAAGCTTATTAAAATTTGATACAATTGTTGACTGACCTGTTAAAAGGGTGTTCATTCTGACTTGAGGAATTCAATGTATCACCAGTAACATCTGTCACAACTTTTTTGGTTGGTGTAGCCTCATCCTTAGACATCATTATAACTTTCTACAACATTATAGAAATACTCATTACATACAAGCAGAATGCCTGGGGTAAAAGGATACTTCACACTACTATCACTTTGGTGCAATTTAATAGCATATGGACTTTTCATCAGTCAATCAGAACTAATGTCACTACATTGAAACAATGATCCTCACTGACAAAGCCAATTCTTATATTCAAATGCATGTCACTAATGAAATTCAGCACTGAACAATTTAAACCACACAAACAATTACTTTAAAATTTCTTTAAAAAAATACAACTCACCACAAATTCTTTTTTCTCTTGCTTACTCATACCAGCGGTGTCAAATCCAGCATCTTAAATATTAACCATGAAAAATGTTTTTTTAGAGACCTAATCATCTACCTAAGTATTCAGTAACATATTTACAAGTTGATTGTTTCATTTCTTCATTCTCCCTGCCAGATAACACGACTTAAGGGTTTTGACGATTTCAATGTTTACTGATAAGTGTTACACTGGTCATCAAAAAAGTGATACCATGGTCAAGCACCATTCAAATATGTCCTTACAGCTAGCAGTGAAAAGTACTCACTATGCATGTTATCACAAAGATGGGATCATTTTGCTCTGCAAATCAACGATATCAGAGGGAAAAACAGAAGCATTTGTGTTGTGTCAATGTTCTGAACTGTTGTTTACATACTAGACATGGTTAGTCACAGCAACATTTTAACCAGATGGGTCTTCCCCAGGTACTGTTTCCTAAAACAGTAAGACCCCCTCTTGCATCCTTACATTCCAGCCAACAAGAGTGATGAATATCAGTTGAAATAAATTGTTTCGCAATTGTTGTAAAATAAACAAAATTTATATATCATACATTGACATCAAATGTAGAATGTGACTGGTCAGTGATTTAAATTTCACACTCGTTAATTAATACCTGGGTAGTTAATTTCTACACAAACTTAACACTAGACATTGTTTTACTTAAACCTGATTCTGATTTTTACTTTTAGAATACCATTAATTGGATTTTGTTAATTGTGCCACGTTAAACATTTTCTATTTAGCTTTTTGTTGAGCTTTATATGTACTCATATCTATGTATGGCAACACAAATACATATTTTACACTCTTTATTGCACCTCAGTTTCCCATTAATTGGACCTTTTATATCTAATGCTTCTGTTCATTTCATGATCATCATCAACTTTCATCATATTACTACTTAATAGAATTAATAAGATGTAAAATTCACTTTGAACATTGATTGAACTTTGTAGACTTTTAATTATTTAATTAATTGTGCTCTGTTTAAAGTTTTCCATTTGGCATTTACTGTCAAAATCAAACCTGGAATATAGTTCTCTCAAGCAGATATGTTTTGTACTTCATCAATAATCACAGATTTAAGATATATGATAGCTTTATCAGTATTGTCTTACATTCATATTTCAAGGCAGAAGTGTAGAGAAAAGCTAGAGTAAGTTAACTTCTTAGTAAGTTCCTACTGTTTCTTTAAACAAAAATAATTTGAGATTCTTATAAGTCCAGGGTAAAACCTTAAAATTAGTTTGACTTGGAGAAGAATAAACAATGAAAATAACATATTTGCAGCACTTGCCAAACTTTAACAAGAGTGCCGTGGACACAAAATAGTCCTCCACAAAATATAAAGATCAAGATTGGTCCTTTTAATTATCTCTTTTAACATGTCTGTATCATAAATCTTACAAAAATCAATGAACCGTAAAATCGCCCCTTCATGCACATCAAACCGTTGTATTAGCGACATTGAGCAAGTTTAGGAGGAGTTGCGTTCACAAAGCTCCACTAAGAGCAAGCTACAGATACAAAGTTGAAAATGGCATGAATCTTACAAAAATCAAAGAACCGAAAAATCGCCCCTTCATGGACATCTACCCATCGTAGAAGTGACAAAGAGCAAGTTTCATGAAAATCTGATGATTAGTTTAGGCGGAGTTGCGTTCACAAAAAATAGACGTACGGACGGACAGAATGAGAAGATGACGCCAATATACAAATGCCTCCGGCGGCGTATAAAAATCTTTACAGGACATTCAGTCAGGTGAACTGGGAAAGTTGGCAGAGGAAATTTTTTATCTGAACAAATCTTTCTGCACTATTTCATATGCCATGTTAAGGCATTGTCTGATACTGGTCCTTGTAATTTAGCTTCAAGCTTTTCTAACCAAAAAGATAATGAATTGAAGGAATTAGAAAAGACATAATGAGGTAAAACGAAGGCTTCAAAAAATGCAGTTTAAATATTTTATTTTCTGTCACATGTAATAGGTTTTTTAACAAAAGAAATCTTCTTTAAAAGCTGAAATAAAACAATATAAATTGTGTTAACTGAACCGATCATAATCTGCTTTTGTTATTCTACCAATCAATTTCATATCACAGACATACCTCGAAGAATCTGGTCATGGCGGTCTTCAGCAGTCATAGCTGGCTTTTTGACACATCTTTTCTTCATTCTCCGGTCTCGAGATGTCAATGTAGGCACATAATCTGGTCCATCATGGTCAGCTGGATTCACATAGATCACCTACAATTTCACAAATGTTAGAGACATTGAATAATTTTGAATCTATCCTATATCTACTCCAGGTTTCCTTTGATAGCAGCATTTTCAATAACCAGCACCAGTAATATTTCATTTGAAACTCTGCAATACAGCTGCAAACAGCATTGCATTTGTGCACTCACTTTATTTGTAATTTAATAGAACCGTCTTAAACTTTGAAATGAATTGCTCTCCTTCTTTTAAACTGAAAACCTCTTAAGGGTGTATAAATTCTTGTTTCAAGTATTAGCTAAAATGCCACTTAATTTTATACAGTTATATTTTCCATAACAAACTGATAAACCTTTTGAACTCTCACAGTACAGAAATAAAAATCCACCACACTGCCAACCTAGAACGTTTCTATAATGGTAAGTCCGTTTTTCATTTCTTGTTACTGATTTCAGTGAAATAACTACAATACTACTCAAGAGCATAGCCAGGTATTATCAAGCCTATTGCACCCTGGGATTGACAGGTCATTGAGTGATGGTTCAAAGTCTAGAATGGCCACCATGCTTGTATGATATGAATGGCTTTGATGCAAAAAATATTATGGGATTATATGAACTTTGTCAGCATGCAAGGGCTTTTGTTAATATCTAACAGTACAGACACCAATTGAGAGATTGTGCATTATCAATCTTTTAAGGTTGCAAATGAGTCCAATAATCTGGCGTTGCTAATATGGGGATCAAATTTTAAAAATTGACAAATTGACCTGAAAAATACAGTATTCAATAAGAGATTACTGGAAATGAAAACCATAAGAACATCTCCTTATCGTAAACCAAGCATTTACATAAAAAAATGTCTTTCAACTTGCATCTTTCATTATCAAATAATGTATTTTCCCTTAGGTAGTTTAGTTTGATGTATCTATGAATGGGATCTTTTTTTTAACTAAAGTGAGAAAAAAATTCAAAATAGCATTTAATGACATTTAAGGATTAAAGTTTACAAGTATCACAGTGACATAACTAAATTTTTTTCATATTTCATGTAACTGAGGTCATTATTTATTTAAACGTCTCTGTATGGATTTGAACTGGAGAACTCTGGCTTACTGGTCTTATACTCACCTGATCAAGCTGAAGAAGATCTCTCTAGTCAAGCTGTTTATGTATTATGACTAATATTTACCATAGTTATATGTCTATACTCACGTCATTGGAGTCAGAATCAGTGTCACCTTCTGGCGGTATTCTGTCTTTTAACTTTTTATGTTCCATGTCTTCTTTATCCATATCCTCTTTACAGGAAAACTGTCACTCTACAAAAGTATTGAAACAAAACACATCACACACAAATTTAAGGAGGTCCGCTTTGACGGTCATATTACAAATTATAATTGGTCGGCATAATCTGTTTTACATTTACTTGTCAGAAGTTTACTTCCAAACCTTTCATCCTACTTGTTTTTTCAATAGATTTAATAGGATTAATAATGGACACAGGCTTAGAGCCTCAATGTCCATATCGTACATAAACATTTATAATCAATTACAATTATACTTATTTTGGTGTCTATGGTTTAATAATTTATGGAAAGTAGTCCGAAGTGCTCCATCTACCTGCGATTTAAACTGTTAAGGCAAAAATAGAATTCCGGATAGGAAGAGCTATTCGGACTACTACTGTCCAGGTGGTTCCTCTATCACACTAGATTTCTTTCACATATCGACACCCGATCTCGTGATTACATTACCTTGATCAGCTGAGGGAGACACAATTCGTAAACTGTCATTATAGATATCCCCATGCCCAATGGCTAATCTTTACTAAAGGGATGGGTAACAACTGCACTAATTCCTATAAGAACAACTGCTTTTACCAGAAAATAAAAGAATGACACGGTGGTGGGTGGATAGTTAAGGGTGGGTGGGTGGGGGGGGGGGTTAGCCACATTTTCGTGTTTAACAATTTTCTTTTGATCATGGACCTAAAAAGAGAAAAGAACAAGACAATGCATACAATGCCAGTCAAACAAATTGAGATCATACAAAGTCAGTGACATTTTCTGGTAGGCATCAAACAACTGCTGGGAGCGAACACTCCGAGAGTATACAGAGTCTCCACTTCACATAGGCCTACATCGAGAAAATTATAAAAATGGCGCGAGTTTCGGGGTATGATGGGAAATTGGTTACGCCTTAGAAATTATTTTCAATATATTGATATTTTGTATTTCGAATATATATTAATCTAAGTTAGCATTAGAAATATGTAGATATGTAAGAATTTAGCAAATTTATTTTTGTTTTCTTTTTAACGCCCCCTCATTAGCATATTTCCAAGATGGACGACAAGGAGATGCCAAACTGAAGATCGGTGAACTTCGAACTCGACTCGAGGGAAGTTATGGCTCTCGAGAATAAAAAGAGTTTGTATATTTCACACTTGTGTTAAGTTCACGTGGCTTGATATGTTGTTATATGTTACATAGCCATGTCGTTATCGGAACCTTCTCAATTGACCTCAGTATTCGGATATTTTTCAATACACACAACTGTCAAAGCAGCTATGAATGTGACTGTGCTTTGTTTGTGTGTACAAAATGGGCAAACTTGATTTGCTTCTTTTAGTACGGAAAAATGAGAAGATGATATTAGGCATGTGTGAAGATCTGCCTTCTGCTTCATATTCCGGTGTACTCTCAACTGAATCGAAAGATACCATGAGGTTTGTTGATAGCGAAAACAATGTTGATGTTGACATTCTGAAATCTCGTATTAAAGAGACTACACACAATTGCTTTAGCAGCACCAATGGTGCAAATGGCAGTGAAAGACTTTTATCAGACGACAGCAATTCAAAGGAATGCGACTTAAGTTGTAGTTCAGAAGAGGGATGCAATGGATCTGATGAACCTGATTGCAAACGGTCAAATAGTTCTTCATCAGTATCAGATGAGAAAATATCTCTCTCAAATGACAGTTATCAGTCTTACTGTGAGTCCGGGTTAGATCCTGGTGTGAGATTGAAATCTGGACTTCTTATATCACCAATTACTCTCACTCAAGATGTTCCACTGGACATTAATGAAGGGTCTAATAATCGTTTGTCTACTGTTCTGCAAAACATTCAGTTGCCACTTGTGTACATTCCTACCACTCGTCAACTAGTCACCAACAAGAAGGGGACTGAGAATAGTCAAGGAGCCTCTAGTTCAGTTGATGTACCTGAGGAAGCGGCTGCATGCAATGCAGGTGCATTATCTGAACATGACAGTAACCAGAGCACATCAACTGAAACTATACTCAATATTGATGATATTGACCAAAACTCAGAGATATTAAAGCAAACCAATTTAGACACTGGAAGTTTAGGTGAAACTGATTCTTTGTTGAGATTAAAGGAACCAGACCAGCTTACATGTAGCAGTTTGGATCTGGATTCTGGGATTCACAGGGTACATACTGGAGATTCTCTCCTGCGGACATTCAATGATGCCTCTAGCCTCTCTAGTCTTAGCACTTGTACAGACTTTTCTGTGTCCGCAGCCTCCATAGATGATGGTGAAGGGACAGGACTTTGTATAGATACTGGTGATGGAGGATTTATGGAAATCAATCTTCATTCTAGAAATTCTTTTGAACGATGTAAAAATGGCTCTCAAGACAGTGGAATTGATGATAGAGGTGCTAAGCCGAAGCGGAAAGGCATTTCTGGGTTTTTATCAAGGTAATTGTTCATTTCTTCTCTCTTCAATGCATAGGCAGTTAAAGGTTGTATCAATGTCATTCTAAACCCAATTTTGGTAGGTATGCAGGTTAAGTATCATATTTTCATTCAAATGTTATTTTGCATCAACTTATCTTTCAGCCATAGAAACCAGTAGTTTTGACTTGCTACAGCACAATAAGTGGATAATATACATACATGTATGCTATCAAATTTAGGAACATGCATGACATGATTGCAACTGACAGATCATGTATATAGTTAAATTAGTTGTTAGTTTGAATAAAATCCTTATGAGGGGTTCAAGTTCCCAGTGTAGTATATTATTCTAAAAGCAAATAAGATCATTATGTTAGTTTACCATCAAATCAGGAAAGAATTATAGATATTCTTAATTGATACTAGTTTATGAATTGGAACTTAAAATAATTTTTCTAGTGTCATTATATTGTAGTATATATTGTACCATATATTGTTTGATTTTTAATGCAACACAATAAATGAATATTTTTGATTACATGGCAAGGAGTAAATAACTTTTTTGGAATTGCTAAATGACTTTTGTGGTAAAGGCACACTTTAATGTCCTAGGGGGAATTTTTTTTTCTTTCACTAGACTGGATAATTAACAGGAGCATTTCAGAAAGTATCTCAAATGTCAATCATAAGTTATATTAATACTAAACAATTTTTTTCTGGCACATTTTTTGAAATAATGTAAGGAATTTTGAGGCAGTGATATAAGACGATGATAGACACACTACTTAGATTTATTTTCAATGATATTCTGAGATTCAATTTACTGATATTTGTACACATGTATCTGTATTTAAACAAAGATGTCATTGATTAATTAAAAAAAACAAAGAGTCTGTGATTTAATACTCCAGTTTATAGGTTCTGCATAGATATATTGTACATCATCCTTGATACTCCAGGGTTTATGATCACTTTCTTTTCACTTTCACTCTCTGTATCCCTGGAAGATGTCATAGCAAATTTGAAGGCACAAGCAAAGTAATGTGTTTTGTTCCAGGAGGAAAGATCTGACCTATTACAGGCTGATACACTCCTTTTGAAAATTACAAAGGAGCAACACTCAACCTCAAAGTCATTACAATATACCTTGTGTGACCTCGAGATTCGTTTGATGCACATCAAAGGATCAAACTAGTCTTTTTGTCTTTTCCACAAGGTGTCCCATATGGAACCTTGAATTTTGTCCCGACATGTTCCAGGGGTGCAGAGAGCAAATGTACATAAATGTAACATCATGCTAGGAACCAGATTTGATATATGGTCATGTGTTATTGTTGGCTAATAATTCATGGCTATACTATAAAATAGAGAATGTTGACATCTTCACCCCCGCTAATGCAGGTATATAATCAATACAAGCTTTAAGGAGATCCATTATTAATAAGATGGTTACATTAGACAGCCTGGCAGTATCATAATATTTAACATGGTTCTGGTATTGGCTACAACACTGTATACCACAATTTAAAGTTACTGGTAATATGATTGCAGCCAAAAATGCACAAGCAGTGTCAGACGTAGAATCATCTACATGAGAATATATATATACATATGAGAACTTTGTATGATGATTTGATCTTCACTTCCCTCAACAATCAGAGAACTTCAGAAGTGATAGTCACATTTTGTGTCCCTCAACAATCAGAGAACTTCAGATGTTATGGTCACATTTTGTGTCCCTCAACAATCAGAGAACTTCAGATGTTATGGTCACATTTTTGTCCCTCAACAATCAGAAAACTTCAGAAGTGATAGTCACATTTTTGTCCCTCAACAATCAGAGAACTTCAGAAGTGATAGTCACATTTTGTGTCCCTCAACAATCAGAGAACTTCAGATGTTATGGTCACATTTTGTGTCCCTCAACAATCAGAGAACTTCAGATGTTATGGTCACATTTTTGTCCCTCAACAATCAGAAAACTTCAGAAGTGATAGTCACATTTTGTGTCCCTCAACAATCAGAGAACTTAAGAAGTGATAGTCACATTTTGTGTCCCTCAACAATCAGAGAACTTCAAATATAATGGTCACACTTTGTGTTCATAAAGAACCAGATAACTTCAGAAGTAACATTTTGTGTTAGAGATGAGAAGTAATAGCCACATTTTGTGTCCCTGAACAGTCAGTGATGAAAAGTAGTATACATTATTGAAATAGCCATATTTTGTGTTGTGTCCTTTGTCTGTCAGAGATGAGAATGAAAAGAAATAGCCATATTTGATTCTCAGCAAGCAGAGATGTGAAAAAATAGCCACATTTTGTTAAACTTAATCAATAATCAAATACAATATCCTATATTTATAAAAGTCATCAACATTTCTTGTTTGATGGTCATAGTTGCAAAAATGAAAAAAATAAAGAAGTAGATAGTAGTTATATATTACCATAATAAATAATAGGATTTAAAATATTCCGAACAAGTGTAGTGTGTTAATGCCCTGATGATGGCATGGTGTGTTTTATTGATGGAGGTCATGTGGTATATAAGGTATTATCTATATCATAAACAACATAATATTGTAGAATTTGGTTATGCCAGTGTGGGTTTGATCAGATGGAGGTCATGTGATGATATATGTATTATCCTATTTTATTTTGCAAATCTGTACTAACATGACATTGTTGTAGAATTTGAGTCTGAGTCAACAATTTGTTCTAGTTTATGACACTTGCTCTAGTTTACACTGATGTACCTCTGTATTGTGTGGGTACAGGATTCGTGGTGAATGCATACATTCGTGACCATCACATATGTACAGTCAAAAAGAAAATTTAATGACTAGATGTGTATGGAGAAATTTCTTATCCTATGTAAATCTCATGAAGATCTTGTTATTTTGAAGTATGGGTCAAAAGCATGTAATTCTATAAGGTAGCAGTTAGGATGTTACTAAAATCAACATCAGGGAGCATCATGTGTTTCCTAGAGAAAGGATTATAATCTGTATTACAGATAACTACTGAACTTTATCATATAAGTAAACACCAACTTGTAGCTGCTAGACGACAGACTTGTGGGCAAACCCAGGCCAGCAATTATCACGTTGTTGATAAAAATTCTAGATGTTTACAAAGAAAAATAGGAGATTATAGACAATGATCAGTAAGTATGTAATTGTGCTATAATTTTGCTGGGTACTTTTGATTTTACAATGTTATAGTGCCAGTGCTAGTTTTTCTGAAGGTAATGTGCCAACTCCTGCAACAATTCAAAGTTAACGGGGTGTATAAGTCATATCTAAGTCACCTGACAAGATGCCCATAATGTATGTCCGAGACACCTTAATCACCAGACATGTTTCCCATAACGTATGTCCGAGACACCTGAATCACCAGACATGGTGTCCATAATGTACATCCGAGACACCTGAATCACCTGACATGTTTCCCATAACGTATGTCCCAGACACCTGAATCACCTGACACCATGACCATAATGTACATCTGAGACACCTGAATCACCAGACACGGTGACCATAATGTACGTCTGAGACATCTAAATCATCTGATGTGGTGTCCATGATTTATGTCTGGAACATCTAAATCATCTGATGTGGTGTCCATGATTTATGTCTGGAACATCTAAATCATCTGATGTGGTGTCCATGATTTATGTCTGGAACATCTAAATCATCTGATTTTCATCAACAATTTAACGTTAATTAGACATTGTTAATTGATTGTGCAATGTTAAAGTTTTTTGTTTAGCTTTATTTTTCACAATGTCTTTAAAATTGTATGGATCTTTATGTTTGATATTCCCTACACAAACTTTATATCTTGAATTTCACCAACAGTTTACTATTTGTTTGACCTTCATGATTGAGCAATGTGAAATCTTTCTGTGTAGCACAATGTTGGTCTTTATTTCTCTTAAATTATTTAAGCTATCATAATGAGACCTGGCATATATTTTTATATATATGTATGACCATCCAAACAGAAGTTTTGAGATTTTGAAAAGTATAGCTGAAAAATCTACAGAAATAGATCTTCGGATATTAGAACAAGAAGTATAATGAATGCAACATATTCATTTAGTCCTTATGATAAGCAAAGTGGGGATACAGTAGGCATAATTATTGGTAATTCTTGTTGTCCATGTAAGTGGATATGTGTAACATTTGAAGCACTGACAGATGAATAGCAAAATATTTCTATCTACTTCATCTGACAATGTCATGTTTAAGGCATATCCCTGTAGTAATGACTGATCATTTACTGCTGTACTACAATAATCATGTGACTCAACTATATATAGATTACAGAGGTTTGGTGACAGTCTACCTATAAACCACACAAGTTTGTTATGATAGTTTGCTGTTCTTGTTACCTCATTTGTGAAATAGAAGATGTAAATTGAAGAGGTATGTGTTAATATCAATTAGAGCAGTAAGAGATCTTGTGGTTTCTAGTATTCCATAGTAGATATTGAGATCGAATGAGAAAGTTAATGTGTAATTAGCATGTGAATTAACTATATATAGGTTACAGAGTTTTAGTGACAGTACACCTATAACACCACACAAGTTTGTTATGATAGTGGGCAGTCCCTGTCACCTCATTTGTGAAATAGAAAATGTGAATTGAACAAATATGTATCAAGTAGATATTGAGGTCAAATGAGAAAGCTAATGTGTAATTTAAATGATAAATGAAAGTTCACCAGGTCAGTGGTTTGACAATATGTAGATGATTTGGCAATTTTATCTTACGCATTCTGAGCACTGAAGACTGCAAAAGTAATAAAATTGATTTTCTGACTCATTTCCATAAGATTTTAGAAATACAGAGTCAACAGGCCTTATTGAGAGGTAATGACAGACATGTGTTTGATAGACTATAGACTGTACATGACACTTGACCTTTGTCAGAGGTCACACTTCCTTTATCCTCTGATTTACTCAACAGCATCCTGTGATGGAGTAATGAAACAACACACCAATTAAATTTTATTTC